TATTTGTTATAAGTAGGATGTTATTGTGTGTATGTGAATGTATGTGTGTTTGTTGTAAATATGGTATATGACTGTGAAATTTTTGTATTTGGTATAAATAGGATATTATTATCTATATATGTGACAGTATGTGTATTTGGTTTAAGTAGGATGTTATTTTGTGTGTATGTGAATGTATTTGTATTTTATGCATATGTGGTATATGTATGTAAAAGCATGTGAATTTCATGCTCTTGTGTATTATGTAAAAGTATATCATTTTGGTATAAGTAGGATGCTATAATTGAAAAAACTAAAATAAATTATTGTTATAATTGGGAAAAAAAAAAAACACACAAAAAAATGTTATAAAATTGTTTAAAAACTTAAACACGAATACTAGAAACTTTCTTAACCAATAAGTTATATAGTTAACTTATAATCTTCAAATTAACTTATAATATTATATTTCTATAGTTTCATATTTATATTTTCATGTCTTTTTTTAGTTTTTAAATTTTTTTTGCAACATATTTATATAATGTTATAAATAATATATATATATATATATATATATATATATATATATATATATATATATATTTTAATCTCGACGGTAAAAAATAACAACACAACAAATAATATGTATGTAAAAGTATGTGAATTTCATGCTTTTATATATTATGTAAAATTATGTAGTTTTGGTATAAGTAGGATGCTATAATTGAAAAAATATATATATATAAAAAATTATTGGTATAAATGAAAAAAAAAATTAAAAAAAATAAAAATAATAATAATAATAATAATAATAATAATAATAATAATAAAACTCAAAAATATGTTATAAAATTGTTTAAAAACTTATACACAAATACTTGAAACTTTCTTATAATGTTAACCAATAAGTTATATAGTTAACTTATAATCTTCAAATTAACTTATAATGTTATATTTCTATAGTTTCATATTTAAAATTTCATGTCTTTTTTAGTTTTTAAATTTTTTATTTCCAACATATTTATATAATGTTATAAATAAATAATATATATTTTTTAATCTCGACGGTAAAAAATAACAACACAACAACATAATATAATTGTTGTTATAAAATATTTTATTCTTTTAGTCGTAAAAATTTGTGGATTGAAAAAAAACGATGCTAATTCTGTATACTAAACTCTAAATCCAAAATTATGTTTCAGTAACATCATATCTATTGATAAAAGCTGAACTACTAATCCTTATTGAAACCATCCCTAGTTCCAAGCAGGACTCAAAGCTTTTATCGAATAGTCCAAGTCACACCTTGATAGTAATGGTAAAATCAGGCGTGCGTGTCAAAAATGTGATAATCGTTACTTCAAGTACCCGACTGCAGTTGAACGCCATATATTTATAAATGGTTTCAGTAAGTCGTACAAAATTTGGATCTATCATCGTGAATCTTTTATTCCTCCAGTCGTCTTGCCAAGTAACGAAATGGCCAATTTAATCGACGATGTGATGTGGGAGTCGAGAGAAAATGATATCAACTTTGATGAAGGAACCTCGAATATAAGGGGTAGCAGTGTGGATGATGATTTTGCAGAGTTGTTGGAAGAAATGGAAACTAAATTGTATCCAGGTTGCATCTTTTCTTCCCTTGAGTTTCTAGCAAAGTTAATACATATCAAGGTGAACAACAAATGGAATGATAGTTCAGTTGATCAACTCATTGAGTTGTTGCAATTAGCATTTCCCAAAGGCAACAAGGTTCCCCTTTCACATTATCTAGCCAAAAAGAAACTAAAGTCTATTGGCCTGGGGTATGAGTCGATACATGTGTGCAAAAACAATTGTGTCTCTTTTGGAAAGAACACGATTCACTGCAACTTTGTCCCGTTTGTAAAAAGAGTCGATGGATAGATAAAAACACCAAGGGTAAGAAAGTACCTCATAAAGTGTTACGGTACTTTCCTGTGACCCCTAGACTACGACGCTTATATTGTTCGAGGCACATGGCTAAAAATATGATTTGGCATAGTACCGGACGTTCAGAAGATGGTGTGATGCTTCATCCTATTGATGAGGAACATTGGAAAGATTTTGAAAAAGGCGAGAAATATTATGGCCAGTTATAGGTGTTAGGTTTATGGGACTTAGTCGTGACACAAAACATACAACACAAAACTCTGGGGTTTTAGCGGTGGGTGAGAAAGGCGAGAAATATTATGGCCAGTTAGAAGAGATTATAGAGTTGAGGTATACACATGATTATTCAACTCTACTATTTCGTTGCAAGTGGTTTGATACTCGAACATGAGTTATTTCTAGTGATAATTTCACCAGTATCGACACACGACGCGAAGCATACAAAGATGATCAATTCATATATGCTTCACAAGCCAAACAAGTGTTCTACATCAGAGAGCCAAACAATAACCATCGGTTTGTTGTCGAGCATGTTAATCATCGAAGTATTTGGGATCTACCATTGAACGATGACCTTGACCAAAATGTTGATAACGACTCATACGAAAATGTAGACAATGTCGATGTACTTCAAAATATCTGTTCATCCGATGCTCAACTTTTTATTGATTTCAGCATATACTTTCAAAACATTCCTAGAGTCATTGTTGATGTAGAAAGTGCAACTGAAGTTCCTCCGTCAATTGGTAGAGTCAATGATTTTTCTGATTGCGATATTGATTACGATGAAACGGATTCTGATTATAATACCGAAGAAGACACCGAAGGATATGAGGATGATTCTGATTAGAATCGTTCTTATGTAATGTGTATTTGTAATATGTGTTTGTAAATGTTTATTTCTATGTAATGTGTATTTGTAATAAAAATTGTATTTGTATATCTTATAATTTTTCAGGAAATGATGAGAATATGGTTTTTGTGTATGTATACCCACTACAAGAAAAAGACCCTTTTACGACGCACAAACCACGACACTCGTTGATTTATGTTACGCAAAAGAGAGTGACTTTAAAAAAGTGTCATCTCTTCAAAAAATTTAACAATAGAGGACACGCATTATTGCGTGCCCCTAAATTAGTGTCTAACAAAAAAAAAACACGGAGGGCACCTATAATAAAATGCGCGTCGTCTAAGGATGTCGCTTTATAATTTTTAATGGAACGCGCGTTCCATCCTTTAACAGTAGGGGGAAATGAAATTCTGAAAAAATTAAAAATCCTGCCTTCCTTTTTTTTCTCCTTTCCCTCTTGCCCAAATTATGGACGCTCCTTCCTTCCCCCTCCCGACATTGACTGCTGCCTACTTCTTCCCTCACTTCTACCTACTGGAACCACCATATCTCCCACTCGATGTTGAAATTGTTAGAAAAAGCCCTAATTATACTCTCAAGTCTAAATACAAAAAAAATAGAAGATGGTGAAGAAGTAGCAGTAGAGAAGTGGAGGATGAACAGTCGAAAATGGAAGGAATGGCATCAATAGCGTTGTTACTAGATGGGTCAATCTCGGGTCATTTTGTTCAGCTTCCCGAGTCCGTTTATTACCAGATGGGTCAATCTTGTCTTTTCGTCTCGACTTCATATCTCTCTGTAAAGCAACCGACGACCCCCACACCACCATCTGCAAACCCTAAGCCATCGTCACTACCATTGAACCCTAAAAACTCATTCACACTCCATACTTTTGTGATTTTACTCTTGGCCTCTCATTCTCTCCTCTTGGGCTCTCCAATCTCTGATTTTACTCTGAAACGTCGATTGACATCCCCACTTCACCTACCATCCACCCAAAATCAATGCTAATTGTAACCACCTTCAAGCATGATGCCATCTCTGCTATAAAGTAACCGAAGCTTACATTCTCATCGATTCCACTTTCTCTCTCTGAACAAAAATATCTCATATTCTCTAAAAGCCCTAAACCAGCCACCGCCGGCTATCACCTCCACCATCGTTCACGTCGTCCTACTTCCTAGATGGTGTTTGTGTGTGCGCGACAAGACTGAACAGAAAATGGGAAAGAAAAGAAAAAACGAGCAGAAAGATAGAGAAGAGAAAGTGTTGATAGCTCTGTTAACGAATGTGGAGTCTCCAAAGCTGTTGATATCATAGACAGCATCATAAAGGATCCTTCAAGGGCACAATTGCTAAAGTTTTTCATGTCTGATGGAGATCTTTCAAAAGAACTTGATGACAGATTTGGCTCTCAGTGTGGGGATATTTTGGTCTTTTTCGATGCATTGGATAATTGCAACTCTGAATCGGTTAATGTGAAGGTCCTTACTTTCTTTGTTGATCTTTTTTCTGGAGACACATGCCCTAATTTCAATCCATATTTACAGAAGAAATTCCTTGACCTGGATTTGGTCCACAGAAGAAGGATTTCTTGAAAGTCCTACGCCTACAGGGTTCAAGGTATGCTTTGTTACAATGCTATTTATGTTTTACTTTTTTTGTTTGACTTGATGGGCTTTCTTGGTTAACCACTTAATCTGGACAGCTTAGTGTATCAAAACACCAACCCTTCCCCTACTTGCCCTTAATATTTTTTCCACCAACTTCTCTCATGTTAAAATTGATGATGATTATGAAATTTGTTTGTTGGGATGTAAGGGCAAAATGGTCATTTGGTCTTAGGGGCATTCAGCCACTTTACCATACAAGACTTGATGGGAAAATAAAAGAAAAAAGAAACAGCCCCTAAATTATTTGTATTGATTCATGATTGATACCTTGTGTTTTCCCATTCCAGGTAACAGTTTCCAATTCGAATCCAAACATAGTAATGGTTGGATTTCGTGTCCATGTGGGGAACACATTAGCAAACCATATACCCTCTGAGATAACAATTTTCCAAAGAGTTATAAAACTAGACGAAGGCATGAGGTCATGGTATGACATCCCATTTACAGTTGCAGAATCCCTTCTAGCTGATGAAGAAATTACAATCTCCATAGGAACAACTTTCAACAAATCAACTTTACCAAGAATAGACACTTTAGAAATTTATGGTAGAGTAAAGGATGAATTTGGTTAGAAGGAGAAAATGGATGCAGTATTGGACATGGAGGCACGTGTGCTTGGTAGCAGTTCTTGGGTTTCAGGATCTGGGAAAAAACGTTGCATTGGTCAAGTTACTCCTATTGAAGAACAGGTTGTTGCAGATGGACTTAACCTTTCCTCCAGATTATACGCGTTGTGTAAGCCAAATTGATCTTCTAATATGGAGGAAGTAAAAACAAAGCTGAACAAACTAAAATGCAAGCAGTTGTTGGAAACCATATTTGAAAGCGACAGGGAACCTATGTTGCAAGCTGCTGCATGTCGCGTTCTTCAAGCCGTTTTGCCTAAATGAGAAATATATTATCAAGTACAAAAGTCACTTCTCTACTTCAGTTTTTTATATTATGCTTTTACTAATTTACAATCACAGGGACAACAGATGCAAATGAGGAATCTTCACGATCACATGCCATTCTTCATTTTTAAATCTTGCAGGAAATGAAAGAGGTGCAGATACAACTGATAATGATAAGAAAACAAGGTAAAGGTTGGAATATAGAATGGAATGGAATGGAATGAGTCATTCCATTCCATTTCTTCCCTCTCTATTTTTCTCTCTCTCTTTTTTTCTAATGATCGAACTTCTTGTTTTTAATATCAGTTTCCCTGTTCTCTTTTATACTCGATGCACCTTTTATTTGCAGGCTTGGCATGTGCATACTCCAAGGCCTGTTTCTTTCAAGCTTGTTGCTGATACCCCTCTTCTTACTGGACAGGTAAGTTTCAAATCTTTTTGTTGTGGATTTCTTATAGTTTCTTTTTGTTGTGGATTTCTTATAGTTTACTTAGCTTCTTAAATCAAAGAGTATAAAGCTTTCCTAATGTGTTCTAATAATTAAGAAAATGGTGCTTTTTTGAAAAATGCTTCTCAATTGATCTTATTAGGAAGAATGGAGAACAAGCCTCAAATCATATGTTTTTTTTTCCAGTAACTTCCACTTCCTTCATGGGTTTGTAACAATACTGATGGACTCTGCTATTTTGTTGTATGGTGTATTACCTTGGATATAATTTGTTTTTAGAGTTTTCTCTTTTTATTTAATTTCAATTTGGATATAAGTTTGTAACACATGGGATTTATGATTGCAGCAAACGATCTTTCTTTGCTTTCCAGATATGATTAAAGGCATGTTTTTGGCTGTAGTTATTGGACCACCTGTTGTGGTTGCCATCATTTTAATAGTACAGGTATTATTCTATCTCTGAGAAATTTCATTTGCCATGTCATCAAAAGCTGCCAGATGGACTATTATCTTTCATGTTTGAGTTGGTTCTCAACTTGTAGAAGAATAACATAAAATATTTTGGCATCTAAGTATAAAAAATAATATTTGAAATCATAAGTTCCTTAATAATACTTTATTGTGTTACATGTACTTTATTACTTACTCATAATATATAATTCAATCTGATTATTGATTATGTTTGGTGAGATCATGTTCTCTGTTCTTGATGCTGCATCTGATAGGGAACCAAAAGTGAGGACTTTTTTTCCCCTGACACTTGAAATAACAGGGTAAGGAGAGCATTCTAAACATTCTGGAAACTTTAAAAGAAGAGGGAAATAGGGTCTTGTTCAATGCTTTAGCTGTGTTTGCTCTAAGGGAGATCAACTTATCAAAAGTAAGTTACTGTTTCACCCTTTTATTTAATATTTTTGTGATTGAATGAAAGTCTTAATGAAAGTAATTGACAACCCTTTCTCTGTAAATGATGTGGTGATTGTGGGAGAGGTGTTGTGTTTTTCTCTGTTGCTAGGTAACCTTCTCAACAACAACATTCTACTTAAGCAGGTGAGTAATCAAGATTAAGGGAGACTTGTATCATGTTTGACATTCCTTTCCAGTAAGAAACAGAGTTGTATGATTATTTCTTAGTTTTATAGGAATGTATAACCCATGTTAGCAATGTATTATTTTTGTTTAACATTTGAATGATTCTTTGTATGACATTACAATTTGTGCAATTTATTTTATTTTTTGAGTATGAAATTTTATTTTATATTATGCAATGGATTGTATTTTTTGTATATGGTATTTTATTTCTATTATGAGAAATTACATGCAAATTTAATTTAAAAATTAATAAATATATAAATTTATTTTTTTAAAACATTTAAATTTACGATACGCAAAAATGTGTGTCATCTTCATTTATGACATGGCCTTTCTTGACAGGGGCTTTCTTGATACGCATTGCGTGTCATTAACACGCGCGTCGTAAGGTTACGGCACGCGAATGCGTGTCATCTTCCTTTATGACAGGGCCTTCCTTGATACGCATTGCGTGTCGTAAACGCGCGTCGTAAATGAGCATCGTAAATGCGCGTCGTCTCTCTTTATGACAGGGCCTTCCTTGACACGCATTTGCGCGTCGTCTGAGCCTTTTACGACGCGCAATGAGCGTCGTAAAAGGCTGTTTTTCTAGTAGTGACCATGGCTGTTGTTATGGGTCGTGGACATGGGGGCGATGGAGTTGAGGACCCACCTCTCCCAGGTGGTAGAGGTGCTAATCATCATGAGCAGGACGGTAAGTATTATTATAAATTTTTATTTACTATTTTTATTCAATTATTATAAATTAAATATCGTTTCTAATAATTTTTAATTATATTTGTAGTTGAGCAACAAGCCCGAGGGAAAGTTCGAGGCAAAGCGAAAAATATAAAGCTTGAAAAAGCAATCTTACGGAACTAGGGCAAACCGATTAGCATGGAATACGATAGGGATATCACATTTGATCCCGTGAAGAGCCGAAAGACATGTTTTCCCGAGAAGTTGGAAAAACAATGTGGCAGATGGTCCCTTTTGATAAATGCACTTGGAAAAAAGTTTCCCCTGCAATACATGATACCGTATTACAACATTTAGTAATAATTATTTATTTAAATATATTTTATATGGTTAACTGTAATTGTTTTTTATTTGGTTAACTTTTATTTGTAGACAAAGTTTGATTTGGATCAGATGTACCAGGATGCACAAGCTAATATGTTGACAGAGAGTTTTCAAGCAGCTTTGTTAAAAGGTTATCGAGAACGTAAAGCTGACGCAAAAGAATATTTTATGTTAGTCGGAGGGTATGAAGATATCCCGGGAGCATTAGTCAACCCTCCAGAGGGTATGGAAGTTGATAACCGGAAGACGAACACAGAATTGCTTCAGAAAGGAATAAAAAAATCCGTCAACTGCAAACAAATATGAATCGTGGGGGGTCGAGCTCGTATAACAGTACTTGCTATAAGAAGATAAGGTACGATACATGTAATTATTTATTTAAAATATAATCTAATTTTTAAAGTTAAATAGAACCTTAAGAAAGTGGAAACATTTCGCAAAGCACATACTAATAAGAATGGTCTATTTGTTACTGCTGAGGCGGAACAACAATATGTAAGTATTTAATTATAATTTTATCACATAATTAAATATTTATTTATACTTAATTATTACTCACTTTTGGGAGTTACATAATCGGTTAGTTGAAGAGCTGTTAGAACAAACTCAAGGTGAAAGTCAGTTAACACCCACTCAAGAAAGAGTTGCATTAGAAAGAGTATTAGGAGAGCAATGTAGCCATATTAGAGGCATTGGCTGTAAACCTTCTACTCTCCCACAAATTCCATAACCTTCGCAACCATCACCACAACCATCACAGGTAAAACAATCTACTTTGGTTTTGTGGCGATTATTTACTAAAAACTTTGGTAATTAGGTTTTTGTCCCAAGTGCCAAAAATAACAATGTACTTTGGTTTTTTTCTTAGTTTACAAATAGAAATCTACTTTAGCATCGTAAAATGCATCTTGATTTGGTAGTTTTGGTTTTGTGGTGATTATTTGCTAAAAAGTTTGGTAATTAGGTTATTGTCCCAAGTGCAAAAAAAGAACAACGTACTTTGGTTTTTTGTCTTAGTGTAGAATTAATAATCTATTTTAGCATCGTAAAATGCATGTTGATTTGGTAATTTTGGTATTGTGGTGATTATTTGCTAAAAAGTTTGGTAATTAAGTTTTTGTCCCAAGTGCAAAAAATAACAACGTACTTTGGTTTTTTGTCTTAGTTTAAAAATAGCAATCTACTTTAGCATCGTAAAATGCATGTTTAATTGGTAATTTTGGTTTTCTAGTGATTATTTGCTAAAAAGTTTGGTAATTAGGTTTTTGTCCCAAGTGCAAAAAATAACAATGTACTTTGGTTTTTTGTCTTAGTTTAAAAATAGCAATCTACTTTAGCATCATAAAATGCATGTTAATTTGGTAATTTTGGTTTTGTGGTGATTATTTGCTAAAAACTTTGGTAATTAGGTTTTTGCCCCAAGTGGAAAAAATAACAACATTCTTTGGTTTTTTGTCTTAGTTTAAAAATAACAATGTATTTTGATAGTTTTCGTTTATGTTTGATAGTTTAACTTATAAATTTATATATGTTATTATTAATTATATAGTTGGAAAATCTTCGTGCGATGCTCAACGACCCGGCATGTAGGGATGAGCTTTATTCGTTTTTTCAATCCCAAAATAATCAAGGAAATGATGGGAACGAAGATGATGGTGTGTAGGGATGAGTTTTATTTGCATACGTTGCCACGCTTTGCTACTTGCTAGATTGTAAAACTTTGATTGTTTTTTGTAATTACCAGTGACACTAATATCGCACGACATTATTACTTTTTATATTTAATCAAGGTAACATTATTACTTTTTATATTTAATCGGATATTATGACTTTTGATATTTAATTAATTATAATCGGATGTTTGCTATGTAGTTAGCGACGACACTATTATTTTTTATATTTAATCGAATGTTGCTATGTAATTACCGATGATATTATTATCGACAACCAAAATATTTAATTAAAAAATTTTAAAAATGAAAATTGTTATTACCGACGACACTATCATTAGCGGCGACAATTTGATCAATAGCGGCGACACACATCATTAGCGGTGACGTGGTTATTAGTGGCGACAACTATCATTAGCGGCGACAATTTGATCAATAGCGATGAAACATTAGCGGCAACTTATTACCGGCGACGCGTCGCCGCTATTACTATTACTGGCGACAACCTACCGGTGACTTCTGTCGTCGCTAAAGATCGTTTTCCTTGTAGTGACAGCTACCTTTTTCTAAAAATGAAAACCGATAGAATATGCACATCTAAACACGTTTTCTAATTTTCTAAAACTGAAAATGAAAAATGAATAACTTTTAAGTAAACGAATTTTCTAAATTTTCCAATGAAAACGGAAAACAAAAACTGAAAAGGGAAAACAGAAAACGGAAAATAAATATTGCTTTTTCATAACATAAACGCAACCTAATATTTTCATTGTTGTAAATAGTTTCATCGTCTCATCGAGAAGAAAGACTATTATTTCATAAATACTTCCGTTTGGAAACATTTCATATTTTAAAAAAATATCTTAATAATGCATGTCAGTAGCTTGTGTTATATATATATATATATATATATATATATATATATATATATATATATATATATATATATATATATATGTTTCGCTTTCCTTTTTCATTTTCCGTTACGGGAAAACAGTATTCATTGTGAGTTAAAATAAAATCGTTGTTATTTCTGTTTTAAAATATAAACATGTTTTAGGTTAAAAATTAAATTAATTCATGTTTCAAATCTATACTAATAAATAAAACTCATTTTCTGTCACATGTCATGTTCTCATTAATTTGGACACATGCCATTTTAATAGATTTTTAAAATTTACTTATTTCCACATTTAATTTTCTGATTTGTTCACATGTCACAACTTATTTCGGTTATAATATTGAGAGAAATAAATGCTTCTTTGAAAAAAATTGATATATTTATAATGTAATAAATGCCATAATTAATGAGAGCTCTAAAATTGATATTGATATTAAATATTAATTTTAAATTTAAAGTTTAAATATTGATATTAAATTTTTATTTTTAATAAACCCGTGTAGTACACGGGTCTCATACCTAGTTAAGAAAAAAAGATAGTATGGGTTGTTTTGGGTTATGTTAAAAATTGAAAATAAAATTGATATAGATGTACTATGATAAACAAGAAATCAAATTCAAATAAAATTGGTGGGTGTGATGTCACACTTGTCACGGTACACATCATTATAACATCATATTTGTCATATTGTTTGTCATATTTTTCATTTAGAAGTCAAGAGTTATCATATTTGTCATGATATTTTTTAAATAATTAATATAAAAAATAATCAAAGACCAAGTTTTGTAGGTTTTATAAAATAAATAATAATTATTATTATTAAAAACAAATCGATTTATTTAATATAAACTAGATGCGTTCCGCCCGCACTGCGGGGGTTGGAAGTTGTTCCCTTTTTGTGTAACCATAGTCATTTCCTGATGATGTTTGTGGATGAATATGACTTCCAAAGGTTGAATTAACTTTATTTCTGAATCTTTCTTCTTAAATTTCTTGTGTGGTTTTCACAAAGTGTTCCTCAAAGCTTTAACTAGAACACAATATTTATCAGAAGAACAAAATTGGTGGTCTCCAATGATCCTGAAAATCAAAACAAAAAAAAAGCCTATTTCAGAAATTCAGTTACATAATATGGAGCTTAAATAATTTAATATGACTAATAGAATATCAAGGTTTATCGGAGATATCCTAAAAGTGCAGAAGTAGAATAAATAACATCAGGTGTAGTCCCAAGTAAGTGAGCTACCCTAAAAACTCATATCCACCTTCTGCAATCACTTTCGTTCCTTGTGCAAATCTTTGACCCACTGGTCCACTTTTCGCTGCATCTCCTCTCATATAAAATCATAAATGTCATGCCACAAAAAATGGCGTGATGGTTTGCAGTTTTGAGTATATACCCATATACAACACTCTACTTTCATTTTTCTATATTTGACAAAAATAGAAAATGAAAGTATGACGTTATATTTGACAAAAAAAAACTGAAAGTATATTGGTAATAGGAAATAAAAGTAGGTTGTTATTTTTATCTAAATTATCGACATGTTATGAAGAAAAAACGTCAATGTATTGGCTATAGGCATCGATCTTGTCAGTTGATAGCTAAATATGACATTCCTTATAGCTTAGAAATGAAAATTGAGAAATAAAAATAGGGAAATATGATATTCCATACTATAATAATAAAGCATCTAATAGGGAATCATATACTCCATTCCATCAAAGTAAAACAAACAGACAAATACGACACTCTTTATGGCTTAGAAATGAAAATTAGTAAATGAAACAGGGAAATATGAAATTTTGTAATGAAATAATAAATTCACCCTATAGCACTGCATTTTATAAATTAAAAAGAAAGGATCTCATTTGTAGTTTACCTGCAACTGCGTATGCTTCTCTACTTCTTGTCCCCTGTTTGGTAGTAAAATTATCAATGTAAATAAGAAAAATATAAAATAAAAATAAAATGAAGGAAAACATGGACATATTTACCGGTATGATAACCAAATAAAATCCTTCCAATTCCAACAGAATGCAATCAACATTATAATACATTACCCGTATTATGATCGTCCACTTAAACATACATCTTAAAAAGATATTTAAAGTTGGAGAAATTACTCATAAAAACCATATTACATCATTCGACATTTTCACTACAGCTAACTACTTTTAATTTTCTCATATTAGGGCCATGTACTTTTAGGAATCAACCCAGATACCAATTTTTTCATCCATTCCTCCACTAAATATGTCAGAAATAATTTTACATATTAGAACCCAAATAACCTAATCGTAGGTCCAAAAAACTATCATTTTCGAAAAAGAGAGGAAAATGATGAGTACATGCTACATTTTTCAAGTAAAAAAAGCAAAAATTCACTATTTCTAAAAGAAGAAATCTTTTTTTTTTCTGCATTTTCTAGGAAAAGATTACATATGAACACACAATAATAATTATGTAGAGAGAGAGAGAGAGAGTAGACAATGATTGTTTAAAAACCTGAATGAACTCATTGTACAAAAGAAGTATTGTTGTGATTGAGGATTCAAATGCTTATGTTTGCATATTTACAAATGGTTGCATCGATATTGGTACCGAAAGTTACACCAGCAAGTTGGGTCTTCCCTAAATTTGTAGCCGGTTACCAACCAAAATCAGAATCCATTGATAGCACACCTACCAAGTCTTTGGACCTGCAATTTTTAAAAAAAAAAAAAAAAAAATCTAGTTTTGTGAGTTATGTATTCAAGAATTTATAAATATTTCATTATGTTGTTTGGTGAATCGTGATAGCTATATTCCATATCTAACTTAGTACGTGTTGATTGATCGATTAACATACCTTACACTGCCTTCCATTGCGATGACACCTTATCGCCACCTTCTGCTCAATTTTTCAGTTTTTCGGGCGCATTCTGACTTGAAATTTCACCATATTTTATTTCAGAATCCAACAAATCTTTATAAAAAATATTTAAAAAAGAAGACTCACCTATTGAAAGTTTTGGGTTGGGGGTAATTCGATAGGCTTTCAAATAAATTGCAAGAACATAACTTGAATAAAAATTGTAATTGACCATTTTTTATAAATATTTGTTTTTAATATGGATGGGTACCTTTATTACTTTTGTTTCTCCATTTCGAGATCTTATTAAAATATAAATTGTACAAATTGCAAATCGCTACATTAGTACATTTCTTAAAATCCAACCAACCACTTGTTCGATCTTTCCAATCTCATTTCTCATTTTCCAGTAGACAAATAAATCAAAAGTCAATTTGGTAAACCTCTTGTTTTTTTTTTTTATATTTAGAAACTGAAATCAGAAAAAAAAAAAAAAAAAAAAAAATAAAAAAATAAAAAATAAGTTTTTATTCTTTTTATTTTTTTTAAAAACGCCAAAGGAATTGCACTTGGAAGATACTAAAAAAAGGATTAAATTACCTTTTTGGGTTCGTTTTATTGTTTTATTGCAGTAGATTACCCGCCACTTCGCTGATTTTCATACCTCAAATATTGAAATCCGTTGTTTTATAATTAACGGTAAGAAAATTCCATTATTGATTTTATCTTTAAGTGTTGTTTTATTATTCCTTTCATATTTCTTTTATTCATTTAAGACATAGACCTTATCAATGTAATCATCATTGCAAATTGCTAAGGTTTTCCATTTACCTGGGAGGATATTGGATGCGTTGCATTCTTAGGGGAACATGTTGTTATGACCCAGCGGTTTGGTAAGGTCTATCGCAGGAGGATTAGGTAGGGAATTGGTTTGGATAATGATAAGGGGTAGTTTAGGAAATATCTAAATAGGATTAGTTTAGATAAGTAGAAGATAATAGTTATCTATTAGTTTTTGTTGCTGTCAGTTAGCAGGACACTATTTAAGGTGCTCCATAGTTTGTTTAGTTTTTTCATGCGTGAATAAAAAAAACACCGTGAGGTTTTTTTCTGGAGTTTGCCTGTAACTCGAATCGCAGGTAAGGAACTAGGGCGTTGACCCAAGTTCTTAATATTTGGTATTAGAGCCTTCACAGGTCCTGATGACGGAAAAGCTTGAAGGGAAGGGCACTAATGCCGAACGCATGGCAGCGTTGGAAAAGACCGTCAACCAGGTGCTTGATTCGACTGAAGCACATCGGGTAGAGGTGGCAGTGCAAATGCAAGAACTCACCAAGGCGGTTTCGGATCTAACTCTGGCAATCAAGAAACCACGAAAGAAGGAAAGAAAGGCTAACTATAGTCCGTCTTCCAGTTCAGAGGACAACGAGGGGGATGAGGAAGAGGATTCTGGCGATTCTGATAAGAGTATAAGGTCTAATGTTTCCAGGCGTTCCAAAAAGAGGCCTGGGAGGCGGGACCCGATACTCGATTGCAGGAAACTGAAGGCCCCAGTTTTCAGCGGGGAGGATGTTCATGGGTGGATTTACAAGGCAGAAAGATACTTCGAAATTCAGAAGCTTGGCAAGAAGGATCAGTTACGCGCAGTGGCTATTTATTTGGAAGGAGCTCCGTTAACCTGGTTTAGGTGGAATGATGCCAAGCGACCGTTTCGAACATGGGGAAGATTCAAATGCAAGTTGTTGGATCGCTTTCAAGCGTCTCGCGAAGGTAGCGTCCAAGAGCAATTCTTGGATATTCAACAGACGGGATCAGTCCGGGAATACGTGGACCGGTTTGAAGGTTTCGCGGGACAACTTGAGCAGGTACCGGAGTCAATTCAGGAGAGTACATTCATTAAAGGATTGAAGGAAGATGTAAGGGCAGCAGTCTGAATAGCTAAACCAGAATCGTTGGCTCAGGCTATCCGTATGGCTATCAAGATAGACGAAAATCAGACCAGGGGGTTAAGCCGTAGCAGGGTTGGTGTTGGAACTCCAAAGCAGGGAACAAATGTCACAGAAAAAAACAACGCCACCGCACCAACAGCTTTGGTTAAACAGGGAGTTAGTGGACCGGGTGTGTTTAAACATCTTACTCAAACGGAGCTGGCGGAGAAACGAGCACAGGGTTTGTGTTTCAGGTGTGATGGCAAGTTTGCTCCAGGGCACAAGTGCCCTAGCAAGACGTTGCAGGTCCTTATTGTTGACGAGGAAATTGACGAGAGATATGACTTGGAGCATGCCCATTTTGATATGGCGGAGGTCTCGCTCAATGCGGTCAGTGGGTTGACACCTCCCAGGACGATGAAAGTAAAAGGTGATGTCGGAGGACTAGAGGTGATTGTTTTAATCGATAGTGGGGCTACGCATAATTTCCTATCAACGCGAATTATACGCCTCTTGGGGGTGGCTGTAGTCGGCAAGGGAATAGTAGGGGTCAAGCTAGGCAACGGGTTGATGGTGAGAAGTCAAGGAACATGTAAGGGTGTAGTTCTCAACCTACCAGAAACACAGGTGGTGGGAGATTTCATTCCATTCGATGTGGGGGGATCGGATATCATATTGGGTATACAATGGTTGCAAACTCTAGGAGACATGACCGTAATTGGAAGGAACTACGCATGCAATTCTGGGATGGAGGTCGGCTAGTGACGATTACAGGTGACCCAACCCTATCAAAATCCTTGGCTTCATGCAAGACTTTTTGTAAAATGTTGCAGCAAGAGGTAGAAGGTTTCTTGATACAGTTGACTGCCAAGGTTGATACTAACGAACCACCTGAGGCACCGGCTACAATTCAAGCGATTCTTGATGACTACTCGGATGTGTTTAACATGCCTAGTGGTCTACCTCCAAGCCGTAGCCACGAGCATGGCATAACTCTTAAGGAAGGAACTCCACCCGTCAGTGTGCGGCCGTATCGTTACCCGTATGTCCAGAAGAATGAAATAGAAAAACTTGTGGGGGAGATGCTTAGTGCCGGAATTATTCAGGCTAGTACTAGCCCGTTTTCTAGTCCTGTGCTACTCGTGAAGAAAAAGGACGGGAGTTGGCGGTTTTGTGTAGATTATCGTGCACTAAACAAAGTCACGGTGCTAGATAAATTTCCGATTCCAGTGATTGATGAGTTGTTGGATGAGTTACACGGGGCTACCGTATTTTCGAAAATTGATTTGAAGGCCGGTTATCATCAGATTCGTATGAAGGCAGGGGATATTCCAAAAACAGCTTTTAGGACCCATGAGGGTTATTACAAATTTTTAGTCATGCCGTTCGGGTTGACTAATGCGCCTGCTACTTTTCAGTCTCTAATGAATAAAATCTTTCATCCGTTCCTGCGACACTTCGTTTTGGTTTTTTTTGATGACATACTGATCTACAGTAGGTCAGAATCTGAACACGCGTTGCACCTGGGGAGGGTTTTGGGCACGTTGAGAGCTCACCAGTTGTATGCTAACAGGAAAAAATGTTTTTTTTTTCAGGATAGGGTCGAATATCTGGGTCATATAGTGTCAAAGGAAGGGGTAGCGGCTGACCCGGCAAAGGTTGCGGCCATGTTGACGTGGCCTTTACCTAAAACGCTTCGTGAGTTGCGGGGATTTTTGGGTTTGACGGGCTATTACCGTAAGTTCGTTAAAAATTATGGGAAGATTGCTTGGCCGTTAACGGAGCAACTTAAGAAGGACAATTTTAAGTGGACAGAAGAGGCCACGGAAGCATTCCAAAAGTTACAAAAGGTAATGACTGAAGTCCCAGTTCTTGCCTTACCTGATTTCAGTAAGGAGTTCGTGGTGGAGACCGACGCGTCGGGATACGGTCTGGGAGCGGTGTTGTCACAAGAGGGGAGACCATTGGCCTATTTCAGCCATATTCTGGGAACAAGGGCCCGATTAAAATCTGTATATGAGCGAGAACTGATGGCGATTGTACTTGCAATACAGAAGTGGCGTCCGTATTTGTTAGGAAGGTGTTTTAAGGTGCGAACAGACCAAAGGAGTCTGAAATATTTGTTAGAGCAAAGGACTGTAACCGAAGATCACCAAAGGTGGTTATCAAAGTTGTTGGGTTATAAATTTGTGGTGGAGTATCGGCCAGGGAAGGAGAACAATGTGGCGGATGCTTTATCCAGACGGGTAGAACCTCCACAATTGTTGACTTTGGCAGCAGCGAGCCTCGTAGATTGGGAGGGGTTATGGAAGGAGGTTGGAGAAAGTGAAGAATTGTGTGCTATCCGACAACGACTCCTGAGTGGTGAACCATGGCAGGTTATATGCTGGTACGAAATCAGTTACTGTTTAAGGGGCGACTGGTGATACCAAGTGACTCGGCTTGGATACCAGTTATTTTCAAGGAATTTCATGCTAGCGTAGTGGGAGGGCATTCGGGGGGTTCAAAAGACTTATCAGCGGCTCGCGAGGGAGGTCTATTGGAAGGGGATGAAAGGAGATGTTGCGAGGAGGGTAGCGGAATGCGACACATGTCAGCGGCAGAAGTACTCGACCATGGCGCCAGGAGGGTTGTTACAACCTTTAGAATTACCGAACAAGGTGTGGTCTGAACTGACCATGGATTTCATCGATGGCCTTCCTCGATCGGAAGGGTACACAGTAATTTTTGTGGTGGTTGATCGTTTGAGCAAGTATGCTCACTTTGTGCCCCTGAAGCATCCCTATACAGCAGTTACCATGGCTAATGTGTTTCTTAAGGAAGTCGTTAGACTTCATGGGATTCCTGAGTCTATTGTCTCGGATCGGGACAAAATTTTCTTAAGTCAATTCTGGAAAGAATTGTTCAAACTGCAGGGTACCGTATTGAAGCGGAGCACGGCCTATCACCCGCAAACAGACGGTCAGACGGAAGTTGTGAATCGTTGTTTAGAGACTTATCTGCGATGTTTCGTGACAGATTCGCCTCGGAAATGGGTAACATGGCTACCTTGGGCGGAGTACTGGTATAATACTTCTTTTCACACTTCCACTAAGACAACACCCTTTAGAGTTTTGTATGGGCGGGATCCTCCACATTTGCTATTTTATGGCCAAAACGGGTCTCCAGTAGGGTCTGTGGATCAATATTTGGAAGAACGAAACCAGATTCTCCAAGAATTGCGGGGATATTTGCTGAAAGCGCAACAAACTATGAAGTTACAGGCAGATAGACATAGGAGGG